CACAGACCCCAAGCCTAAACTTTGTTTTCAAAACACATTCCTGGCTCAGCGCCTGTGGCTCAAGTGGCTAAGGCACCAGCCATATACACCCAAGGTGGCGGGTTCGAATCCAGCCCGGGCCCACCAAACAACAATGACAGCCGCAACCAAAAAATAGCCAAGTGTTGTGGTGGGCACCTTTGGTCCCAGCTACTTGGGAGGCTGAGTCAGGAGACTCGCTTGAGCCGAGGAGTTGGAGTTGGAGCTGAGATGCCACGGCACTCTACCCAGGGGGACAGCTTGAGGCTCCTATCTCAAAAAAAAAAAAAAAAAAAACAACACATTCCTAATACAGTCCTGTGAAGAGACTTTTGTCTGTTTCAGTGAAGGGAATCCTGGGAGATTGTGTGTGCACTGGCACTGATTGGGTTTCTGTCTTGCAGTTGACTGGATTATTGCCGACATGTTGGCCTCTAGGCAGGATGCTCTTGGACATGTGCGCTATGTGCTGAAAGATGGGTTAAAGTGGCTTCCTTTGTATGGTTGTTATTTTTCTCAGGTAAGTTTTTTTCATACTTTCTCTTTATGCAGTTTATAAAAACTTCTTTATTTTAAAATTTAACATGGTAACTTATTAATGTATGGTTTCTAAAATGGGCTTAATAGCTTATTCTAAATTGAAGTAATTTTGTTTGGCATTTTTAATGGGGTGTATTTAAGTACATGTTTGGTTATCCATGTATAGCTGTCTCAACATCTGAGGGGTAGGGATTGTTTTCATGACCCCCACAGATACCAAAATCCAAAGATGTTCAATTCCTTGATATAAAATGGGAAAGTTTTTGCATATGACCTGGAGGCTACCTCTGGTATACTTCAAATCATTTCTACATTACTTATAGTACCCAATACAATGTAAATGCCATGTAAATAGTCGTTATACTATATTGTAGTTATATTGTTATTTTTTATTGTTTTCTTCTCCCAAGTATTTTTGACCCCTCGTTCATGGAATCTGTGGATATGGAGGGTCAATTATAGTTAAGTTAAATGAAAAAGCAGAAATGCAAGTTCATAAAAGTCAAATAAAATTTAAAGGCATAGGCTCGGCGCCTGTAGCTCAACCGGCTAAGGCGCCAGCCACGTACACCTAAGGTGGCGGGTTCGAATCCCCAGCCCGGACCCGCCAAACAACAATGACGGCTGCAACCAAAAAATAGCCGGGCGTTGTGGTCCCAGCTACTTGGGAAGCGGAGGCAGGAGACTCACTTGAGCCCAGGAGTTGGAGGTTGCTGTGAGCTGTAATGCCACGGCACTCTACCCAGGGGGACAGCTTGAGGCTCTGTCTCAAAAAAAAAAAAAAAATAAAGGCATAGAATTCAATAGGCTATTATCTTAAGCAACTGATGATAAAAGTAATGAATGATTTGTTTGATATAAAAAACCCGTGAGCTGTCTATGTTTCCATGTACTTAGCATCAAGTTTGATTTTCCCCAGCTCTGGAGGCTCAGGGTGTTGGCAGGGCTGGTTTCTTCAGAGCCCTCCCTCTTTGGCTTGCAGACAGCAGCCTTCTCCCTGTGTCCTCGTGTGGTCATTTCTCTATGCATGTGCATCCCTGGTGTTTCTTCCTTTTCTTAGAAAGACACCAGTCACATTAGATTGGGAGCACCCCCTGTTAGGACCTTCTTTAAGTTTAAAGTCCTAATCTAACCCTAACCCTTAAAGTCCCTGTCTCCAAGTACAATCACAGTGAAAATTAGGGCTTTAATATACTGATTTTAGGGAACACCATTCAATCCATAAGCTTGCCACATAAATATCTGTAGCTCAGCCAATTTTTCTTAATCCCTAAAGATTGTATGTGTTCACATTTTAAGGACACTTTTTAGTGGAAAATTGGAGGTTAAGCTCCATCTGATTGATCAAGTTTTTTATTTAACAAAAGTGTTTTTAAGAAAGATTTTTATTTTAACTCAACAAAAATGTTCATGTATTTTTCAATACCATGTAGCATGCAGTTTTATTTGAGTTATGCTGAAGCAAGTATTTTTTTTGAGACAGAGTCTCACCCATGGTAGAGTGCAGTGGCGTCACAGCTCACAGCAACCACAAATGAGCTCTTTGGCTTCAGCGATTCTCTTGCCTCAGCCTCTCAAGTAGCTGGGACTACAAGCACCCACCACAATGCCTGGCTATTTCTTTGTTGCAGTTGTCATTTTTGTTTAGCTGGCCTGGGCCAGGTTTGAACCTGCCAGCCTCAGTGCATATGGCAGGCACCATAACCACTGTTGCTACGGGTGCCAAGCCAGAAACAGGTGTTTTTATCTAAATGTTGTTAAGATACTGATACTTAAATGCATTAAATATAGTTTGAATTCTGAAATGTTTGTTCACTCTGTATTCTTTGGAAATATAGTTGCCTTTCTGATGACTATGGCCATTGGTTATTTTAAGACTAAATCCTTTTCCCCCATTTTTTTGATGTGGCAGCATGGAGGAATCTATGTAAAGCGAAGTGCCAAATTTAATGAAAGAGAAATGAGAAACAAACTACAGAGCTACGTGGATGCAGGAACTCCCGTAAGATGATGCTTTTTAAAATTTTTCTTATTAATTCTCATTTTTAAACTTAAGAATTAAGTTAAAATCTATTTTGAATGACTTGGCGCCTGTGGCTCAAGTGGCTAAGGCGCCAGCCACATACACCTAAGGTGACGGGTTTGAATCCAGCCTGGGCCCACCAAACAACAACAATGGCTGCAACCAAAAAATGGCCAGGCGTTGTGGCAGGCACCTGTGGTCCCAGCTACTTGGGAGGCAGAGGCAGGAGACTCGCTTGAGCTCAGGATTTGGAGGTTGCTGTGAACTGTGATGCTACAGCACTCTACCCAAGGGGACAGCTTGAGGCTCTGTCTCAAAAAAAAAAAAAAAATAAAAATCTATTTTGAAAAGTATATCATCATCTTATGTCCAATTAATAATTCAGTTTTATTGAGGCAAAAAATATCCTCTAAATAAAGATTTTTCTTTGGCCATCAGAAAGATCGAAGTTGGTTAGATTCTTTGCTGGTGTTTGTCAATACTGACCTTCAAGAAGAGTAAAAAGAACACTTAGAGTATCTTAGAGTCTATAAATGGAAAACAGAACTGCATTTATACCCCTGTGGTGAAGCTATTTTAAGGGCTCATCAGATTCTTTATCTTCTTTAGTGTCAGATTTAGTTTTAGAAGCAGAACTATTCTCTGTCAATAGAAATTTGGATTTTTTTGTGTATACTGAGTTATTTGAAAAACCAACAAAAGGATATCTACAAATGAAAAATCATTCAACTGTAAATATTTTACAAAAACTTTGCTCCACAAAAGGTATGTGTGAGATCTCATTCTTTTATTTGAAGAACACTAATTGCTGCAGGTGCCTTTTCCTCACGACTCCCTTCTGGGACAAACCAACAAGATTATGATGACTGCTTGGGCTTCACCTTTCAGTGCGTTACACGGGCCTGGAAGTTCAGCTCACACGTACCAGGTTCCTTTCTTTGCGCTTTCTTGTCCCCTTTCTCCTCCCCCCTCTTCTTGATGCTCCCCTCACCAAGGCTCCTAGGCCGGAGTCAAAGCTCATAGTGAAGGAAGAGCTCCCCACAATCACTGGTAAAGTGCCCAGCATGAACATTGTTTCCTTATGTACATTTCTAGGTGTTTCTGTGGTAGGAAATTGAGTCCTCTTTGGGAATGAGGAGAAAGTAGAATGTAGTGAGGTGAATTGTGCTCCTTTATGCTATTGCTGTTGACCCTCAAGAGCTGAACTAGGTTTATTAAAAGAGTCTACTTATTTTGAAACGGTGTGGTAAATTTTGGCAGAAATGGGGTTCATTGCTTGTAGATCTCTAAAGAGAATTGATTGGCAATATATATATTTACTTTTTTAAAATTTATGTGTCTATCCCACTTCTTCCTCTAGCTAGCCAGCCACCCAAGCCACATATGGCTGCTATGGAGTTTCTTGTGTATTCTGCTGTAGGCATTGTATAGGAAGCAAACATGTACTGACTCTTTTTACGTGAATGTTAGCATTTTATATGTAGTTTCCCCTTGCTTTCTCCCTCGCTCCCAGTAAATACAGTGTCAAAAGCACTAATGTGGAGAAACTCTGTTTTATTTATTATATGTCTTTTTTCTCTGGCTGCTTTCGAGAAAGTTTCTCCATGTTTTTGGTGTGTAGCAGTGTAAGTATCATATGTTTCAGTGTCTTTTTTTTTTTTTTTTGAGGCAGAGACTCACTTTGTTGCCCTTGGTAGAGTGCCATGGTGTCACAGCTCACAGCAACCTCAAACTCTTGGGCTCAAGCGATTCTCTTGCATCATCCTCCCAAGTAGCTGGGACTACAGGCACCTGCCATAATGCATGGCTATTTTTAGAGATGAGGTCTTGCTCTGGCTCAGGCTGGTCTCAAACCTGTGAGCTCAGGCAATCCGCCTGCCTCAGCCTCTCAGAGTGCGGGGATTACAGGTATGAGCCCCACTCCCAGCCTGAGTGTCATTTTTAAAAAGTTTATCCTGGTTGATCTCTGAGCTTGGATCTGTGGTTTGATGTTTGTCATTAACTTTGGGAAATTCTTTCTGGTTATTTCTTTAAATATTATTCCTACCCTGTTTTCTTTTTTTTTGAGACAGAGCCTCAAGCTGTCCCCCTGGGTAGAGTGCCGTGGCATTACAGCTCACAGCAACCTCCAACTCCTGGGCTCAAGCGAG